ACCTCAATTCTATGCTGATTTAATGCAAAGATGTTGGGATGCTAATCCAAAAAATAGACCTGATGCTAATGAAATAGGAAAATTCTTTGAAAAATGTCATTATAATCCTTCTAGAAAAGAGGAAGAGAGTATTGAATTAGCAGAAGATAAATTATTAGAAATTATTATTGCAGAATATTATTTGTCAGATGAAAAGAATTACAAGCATCATTCAGAATCAGTCTATACAAGTTGTTCACTAAATGAGTTAATTCAGCAAACTAAATCATCAAATCTTTTGTCAATGGAATCAGTTTAGCAGTATAGTAATATTCAAAGTATATTTATCACAGAATCTATTGGCTAAACAATCTTTATTAATTGTATAGGTTTAATAATAGGCAGTGGTAATGGTAATATGATTGTATTTTTAGCTATAATTTTCCATTTATATCAATAGAATATTTTTTAAAGGAATTAAGAATTTTATATTATTATATATATATATATGAATTCAAAGTTGAATTTTTTAAAAATAAAAAATTTGTCAAAATAATATTTTTGTTGAAAGAAAAATGCTTTAATTTACGTATAAACTATACATGGGATGGTGGGAGTATTTCTTCAAACATGACAAATTTCAAAACTTGGAATGAACCACATGCATGGCTTTACCTACACAATCCATGCAAACATTTCTGACTCCCATCATGGAAAAAGCATTGTAGAATTTGGTCATGAAGTATCAGATTACACCATTGTAACCATCAAATGGAAAACTGTGCTCTAAAGGTTCCCTCAATCACTATCTGACAAAACCCAACCTGTCAAGATTCATCTATCATCATGTAAAGTAAGAAGGCAAGATGTTATCTCATACCATCCCAAGATGCTGCTGATATGGAATGGCCACATAAAATTTTCAATGCGACATTCATAGGACTTATGAAATATGTCATGAAATACAGACAATTACTGAAAACATATCATGGTGATAAGGCTAGGTTCAATGGAATTGATGATACTTTTGCTCCAGTACCCAATAACTAGATGTTCCACTACTTCCCTTCTGCACCCTCAAATACCATCTAAGATCTGTGAAACTGATGCAGTAGGCAGAAAATGTATCTTCTGGCACACTTTTTTGCTCCCCTGTGTCATACTTTTTGATTTATTAGCTCCAAATTTAATTCTGAGCAATTCTAGATTACTTAAAAATTTGATGTATGATTAAATTGCATTTGTGTTGTAATTTGGGGTATGACAAGTTTACATTTGCATTGTACTTTTTATATACACCCATATTTTTTTAAATGTATCTACATAAGCTTAATTTAATTCTAGGACCATAATTTGCAATACAATAAAATTATACTTGCTTCGTACTTTTTTTATATATTTACAAGCTTAATTCTATATATAAAAACCAAAAACAATAATACTGAAAGCATGCAATTTCAAATACAACTCATGTGTGATGCATCCAATAAGTATATAAGATAAATATGAAAGTCCAATAATATATATATTTCCCAATTTCCGCTCACCCTAGGAGCTATTCCAAAATTATCTGTAAAAGATTTCAAACTTGTTTCTAAATCTACAACAACTTCTGTAGGAAAAAATTCCAATATTACTGTTGTTCCTTTTTGATATTATAATTAAAATTGAGTTACTGGAGAAATAGTTTAGCTCAAAAGATTTATATTTACAATATTATTGTTTCCAAGGATAAACTATTTACACCAGATGAACTTGACAACTCAAGAAACTATTAATATTAAGTCCTTCTAGGCATTCCTATTTCCAAAAAACTTTTTTTATTATTGAAGATCATTTATTTGGACGATCAAATTTTTATCATTCATCACAAAAAAAAAATTTTTCTGTAAGTAAATAATTAAGTTGTTGAAAAACATATATTATATAGTGATGATATCTTTGGTAACCAGAATATATATATTCAGGGCACTAAATTAGAATACTCATGGTTGATGCAACCAAAGTGTTATTAATTTTTAGAAAAACAAATTTTTTCTTTTAAATATTTAGTTGTCCATGATGAGACATAGGCGAATCTGAATTAAAAATTTTTTTTTAAAATAAAAAATGTCAACCAAAGAATATTAATTATTTAATCTAAGTTTTATAAATATTTAGACTGATTGATTAAATGGCAAAATCAAGATATGAATATGTAAAAAGTTTTGAAAAAGATGATTCGTTATTGCCTAACACTTGGATGGTTTTACGTATAGATGGAAGAGGTTTTCACAAGTAAATTACAAAACAAAAAGAAAATTTAACAGTTATAGAAATTATACACTTGTTACACAAGTAACCAACTGATCTATTGATATAGGTTTTCGGATAAGCATAAATTTGAAAAACCAAATGATAAAGCAGCTTTAGATCTTATGAATAAGTGTGCACAATCAATTATGAATGAATTTCATGATATAATATTAGCATATGGACAAAGTGATGAATATAGGTAATAATCACAGAATCATAAAATAATAGTAAATGATATATTAATATATTATTAACAAATATTTATAAATAGTTTTGTGTTCAAAAAAAATTGCAACCTTTATGGAAGACGTGAATTGTAAGTAATCTTATGTACATATATTTATAATTTTTTTCTCTTTTCTCACTTTCATTCTCCTTTCTCTTTTCTAGTAAAATATTATCAGTAATTGTTAGTCAATTTTCTTCTAATTATGTATATTATTGGAAAGATTATCTTCCATCAAAAGAATTATTATATCCACCCTCATTTGATGGTAGAATCGTAATTTATCCTAGTGATAATAATTTACGAGATTATTTATCTTGGAGACAGGTTGATTGTAAATATTCTTTAATGAATTATTATTATACTAATAATATTTACAATGTAGTAATAATAATAATTTATAATAAGGCCATATAAATAATCTATATAATACATGCTTTTGGGCCTTGGTAAATTCTGGTAAATCTGAATCTGAAGCAGAAGAATTTTTAAAAGTGAGCATTTACCTTTAATTTCTCAGAAAAATTTTTTTTTTCAATTAGCAACTAACTAGCTTTTATTTATTACTTTTTAATGAATGTTAGGGAACAGTTTCATCAGATAAAAATGAACTATTATTTTCTAAATTTAATATAAATTATAATAAATTACCAGAAATGTTTCGTAAAGGTTCTTTATTAATTCATCAAAAGGTATTTTATATAAATATGCATGTGTTATTTTACAATGTTATATTATTACAATGTTTAATATCTCTATTTCTATCACTTATAAATAGATTGAAGAAAAAACCATAAATCAAAAAGGTTTAGAAGTTACAAGGGGAAAAAATGTTGTTCCAATATTACATGTTGATATTATTAAAGATGAGTTTTGGGAAATTCATTTAGAACTTGGAATTAAAATATAATCAATTGCTCATTTATTTTTTTACTTTGTATTAACATGTTTCTGTAAGATCATGTTTCATCCTCTATAGTAAGTTTGGTGTGACTTTATTAATCGGATGAATTATCAATCTGTCCAATCCTTTTCCCTGTCAAGCAACACCCATTGTTTTGATTTTTTTTTTATTTTTACAATCTTGAAAGATTATGTTGAAAATAATGATGAAAATGTATTGTTATTTTGAAAGTTATGAAGCTAGTGAGCAAATAATGGTGCAAAACTCAAGAGTTAAGGCATTAATATGTAAGATCACTGAATAGTTTACCAAATGATAATTACAGTATATGTCATATGCAGAAATAGTCAACCTTTACATGTTATAACTTGGCAATATTTTTGCACTCTTACTGGTGAATTTGATGAAGATCTAATGATATATTACTGGTTGAGCAATATTGTTTGTCATTATGTCCATATTTTGCATTAACCATGTTTAACAAAAAATTAAAAATCAAGGAGTTAGAAATATATCAAATATAAAATATATTTTATTGCCTTATTATAATGTAATATTATACAAGCATTGAAGAGTATAATGCTTGACATGCAAGGCAATTTTCAAAACAACTACATTTTGGATTATCTGCTTCTTTCAATAATTCATTTGATTCATTAATTGTTCCTTGAACTCATCTAACAAATTAGAAGATAAATATTAAAACATCTCATCATATATTCAATGGGTAAACATTGGTTTCCTATAAAGATGTTCCAAATAATGTTAAACCATTATTTTCTAAGAAGGGTAAAATTAACATTATTATTAAGGATCTATTTTTAAAAAAATCAAGCAACAAAAATGAATAAATGAAAGGTTTTGGACAGAAAAAAAGGATGGATTTCTTTCATGAGCTGTTTTTGATGTAGGCCTGCCTCCTCTAAAAATAGAGGATCCATTTATTAAATTTTGTCAGAACTTATGTCCTGCATATGTTATCATCTAGGAAAAGTTTGTTAAGTGACAAAATTGCTTATATCATATAATGGTAATTATTTGGTAATTAATACAATTTGTATGTAATTGATCATCAATAAATTGTGTTATGTTTGCTTTGTGTAATAATAACTTTTTCTCTAAAGATCTTTTTGACTAAAAAAAGTTACGCGTTTTTCTACCTTCCAATAAAAAATAAAAAATAAAGTCAATGATAAGCGTTGACAATATTTCAATTATAGTTAATACTGTAAAGCTATATTACGATTCTGAGCAAAACTTGTCAAGCTACTACAACTGCTACTACATTAGGAATTTTGGCTAAATGGTTAGAAACAATAAGAAACATTTCTGTTACCACTGATAATCTATATAATATTCTGCAAGTTCATTCGGAGGAATTCATGTTGGGTCAAAAATGGTCAAAAACAATAAAATAATTCATTTATAGATATTGTATTTTTAATAAATCACAAGACAAAATCATATATGTATCAATTAATTAATATTAAAACAAGTTATTAATTACATTGATGATGACAAGTTTTATACCTGAAATTTGGTAATACAAATATTCACTTTGTCTGATTTGTTGCTCAACTGAGATTTTTATATAAGGTAAAAATGCCTATTTTGAACTCTGATCCTCATATAAGACAGAGTTGTCAGAAACTCGGATTTTAATTTATAAGGTAAAAAGTGATACCGATTTTTAAAGAAGGTAATATATGGGCAAAGGAAGAAAAATCAGTGCTCTATTTTATGACATGCTAAACATTGGTCATAAAAAAAAATGTTATGAGCTTTTATATTTGCTAAAAACTCATTATGACAATGTCAAGAATTCATAAACCAAGAAAGATCCAAAATTTACAGCTGAAAAATTAAAAAGTCAGCATTATGATCAAAATCACTAAAATGTAAGTGTGACAAATATATAAAAATTTGGACCCAGATATTCTTGAAATACATCTTAATGGAAAAGGATATGTATACAAAGCTGAAGGCAATCAACCTATACTCAAGGATTAGATTACCAAATAGGTTACAAGAAAATTAGTCAATTAGTTGGAGAAACAACAAATAATAATATTGTAAATGAATGAGGCAACAAAGATATTTATTATTGTTAATTTAATTCACTTGTAAAAATAATTTGATTGGTGTCAAAACTTGTTTTGGACAAAATAAAATGGAAGAAAATTCAAATCATCATCATGTAAATTAGTTAGCAGTATTCCTTATTTATTATTATAAATAAAAAAGTATGGTGGACAAAGTCCTATAATTAATTTGCCTGTAATAGAGCCATTTAGTTAAAAATATAAATGAATATTAATATTAATATAATGTACAGAATCTTTTTTTTAGAATTACACAACGTCGATCATTACAGTATTTAGTAATTTAAAATAACACCAAAAATTAAAACGTATCATAAAAAATAATGTCTTGGAGAAATCAATTATCAAAAAGTTTAAAAGAACTTCGTATACATTTTTGTCAAACTTCTCCTTCTAGTAAAGGAGTTCGGTAAATATTCTTTTCAATTTCTTTATTTATTTTTCTCTTCAATAACAAATCACATCTTCCTATTGCTCTCCTTTCAATAACTAATGAAAAAAAAGCAATTATCTAGAGAATTTATCACAAATAACTATTTATCATTAAAAGAGGCTAATCCAAAATTTCCGATTCTAATTCGTGAAGCAAGTGGAATAGAAGCTCGTTTTTTTGCTAGATATGGTACTTATGCACTTTACATATTACATACATAAAAAAGTGTCAGTATTATCTAATTCTAAATCATTAATATTTATTTTATTAGATTTTGGAGAAGAGAAAAAAATTGCTTTAAATAATCTCTCAGCTAGAGATGTTGAATCTAAATTAGAAGAATTGGTTTTAAATAAAGATTCTTTAAAATCATCATGATAAACAAATAGCTGACAATAATAACAATCAATAATAATAAATTTTCTTATCAATCTCTTATCCATCAATCAATATTTAATATTTTTGGCACAATATCATATAATAGTAATTAAAATAAATAAATGATGTATATTTATAGGTTAGGAACAAACATTACTTCCTACTTTGGTATTTAAAATTAAACCAACAATTAAACCATAAAGACCCAATTACTTCAACAAAAATCAATATTAAAATCATTCCTACAAATAATCTTTGTTGTTGTGCATGCCCTCTTACACACTTTTGAAATAAGAACATAAATATATAAATGAGTTATATAACACTTACAGCATCTCCAGCATCACCTATTGAATAGCTTGCTGCTAATCAGTAAGTCCTACTGCCAATCCAGATCCTAATTGAATGAATCTGCTAAAATTATTTAAGATTAAGATTGGAGTTACTCTTATTATTATTACTATTACTATTTTTTTTAATGTAGGCTTTATAATTGTAATGCTTATTCTATATACAATAAGAATTATCATTAATAGTATGCGCAACAACATTCGTTTAACCATAGATCTCACAATGTTATTATTATATACAATAAGAATTATCATTAATAGTACGTGCAACAACAATTCGTTTAACCATAGATCTCTCAATATTATTACATACAATAAGGATATCATTCATAGCAGTAGTTACCATCAGTTGATTTTTTTTGATGGTCGCATAGCAATGATTCTAAATCTATTTTTTGAAACAGACAAATAAATATCGAGACAATGTTATTATTATATACAATAAAAATTATTAATATACAATAAGAGTATAATAATAATGCCTCGCATAACAATAATTCAACCATAGATTCATTTAAATACAATGTTAGAAATCTGTATTATGAATTATTTGAAGTGAATGTATAAAATGTAATAAACTAACAATTCTAATTATATTACTCAAAGATCTTTATTTCTGCTCATTTAACCCTTCCTTCTATTTTAAATATAATGTAGATCAGTAAAACAAATCTCTCATCAAAACCTAACTAACTCTTGTGCGAGCCAATAGTACCTTTGTTGTTGCAACATTTGAAAGTCCAACACATCATTTAAAGAGGTATTAGCAAAAAAAACTTAATGTATAATTAAAATGAAACTTAATAGAAATGCACTTTTTTGAAAAAGATCAATGAAATAAAGCTTTAGACGTAAAAAATCTTCACCGCTACTTTTCTTTCATCTTGGGAACCAAAATTTTTTGTCAAAAAAATGTATTTATTTTATTTGAAAAGTTTACAAAACATTATTTTGTTATATAAAAACGTTGAATTTATGAAATCTTAGTAACATTCGTGCCCTATACAACCACGTGATATTTGTAACATGTGAGCAATTATTGAATGGTTTTTAATTGGTCGAAATTTTAAAGGTAGTAAAGGTTCCTTTGATTATCGTGTAAACTAATTGGGACATTCAAATTTTATACGACGTCCATGCTATATTAATTGATTAGTTGATAAATTGTAAATGAATGCAAATGCGAATTGGAGAATGAAGCAGGAAAATTATTCTCTTTACCTTGTATCTAAACACCTAAATACCTTTAATATTTTTATGACATACGTTATCACAAATTCTATATCTAATAATATAAATATAAATATAAATATACATAAACTTGGACATTAATTAATTATATTACTGTATTGTTATTATCTTCATCCTCTGTTTTTTAAAAATGTCTTCAGCTATAATAAGAACAAAAGATCGAAGACAAGAAGGTTATCAATCTTTTACAAATCCAAATCAAAGGTAAAATTTTCATTAATTGATCACATTATAGTATTTTGATTCATTTTATTTAATTCAATATATATATATATATATATCTAATGTTGAAGTTATTGATTGTAGTCATAATAATAGAAGTAACAAGAATAAATGGAATAAGAATAAAAATAATAATAATAATAATAACAACAACAATAACGATTTTAATATTAATAATACTAATAATTCTCAACATTCAATTAATCTAACATCAATAACTCAACAACTTCCAAATCCTAGTCCATCATTCACAAATCATTATCACAACAA